ATTTCTAGGACTTTTCCGGTGGAATTTTTGTGATCTCTTACATATATCATATCGTCTGCTAATAGTGATAATTTGACCTCTTCTTTTCCAATTAGTACTCCTTTAATTATGATCTCTTGTCTTATGCTCTAGTAAGAATTTCAAGCACTATATTGAAAAAGAGTGGAGGCAGTAGACAGCCTTGTCTGGGTCCTGATTTTATTGGGAGTGCTTCCAGTTTTTCTCCATTTACATTGATACTGTCTATGGATTTATTGTATATAGCTTTAATTATGTTAAGGTATGTTTCCTCCATGTTCATTCCCATGTAGGAACATGAATACATGTGGATTTTTTTCAAAGGCCTTTTCTGCCTCTATTGAGATGATCATGTGTTTCTTTTCTTAAACTTCATTTACATGATTTATTACAATTATTGTCTTACATATATTGAAACATTCCTGCATCTTTGGAATAAAGCCAACTTGATCATGATGAAAAAAAAAAAAGCCCAGCAAAATTGTTAATAATGCTTAATAGCAACAAATACACTCAGATTCTAATAAAGATATGTCTAGCAGGTTCTCCTCCTTCTCCTCCTTGCTAGTCCCTCCTATCCTTCCTCCTCCCCTTTCTCTTCCTCCCTTTTTCTTTCTTTCACCCCATCCATTCAACCTGTTTCCCCTATACTGGCATGCTCGCCCTTAGAAACTTATGATAAGACAACTGTACTGATTACTTAAAGAAAGTCCTGGTCCCTCATTGTTTAAGCACACCCACCTTCTAAATCCGTAGTATATGAGTTCACATTCCCAGAAATCACATTCTGTTCTCTGACCTTTTGTTTTTCTGAATTTTTATTTTTTCTATCATTCATTCGGTATGGCTTTATATTGTCTTAAGTTTCTTTGTTAACTTTTCACATCTACATTATGTTCTTTTTACATATTATTTATTTACTTATTTATTTATTTAGAAACAGGGTCTCCCTTTAGTCTCAGCTGGCCTAGAACTCCGTATGTAGACCAGGCTGATCTTTACCGGACAGTGATCTGCCTGCCTCTGCCTCAAGTACTGGGAATGAAGTCCTCTGCCACCACATCAGGTTTATATTATTATTTTTAATTACATGTATCTGTGTTTGTGTGTGTGTGTGTGTGTGTGTGAGAGAGAGAGAGAGAGAGAGAGAGAGAGAGAGAGAGAGAGAAAGAGAGAGAGAGACAAGGTGCTCTCAGATGCCATAGGCATTTGATCCCCTGGTCCTGGAGGTACAAGTCATCGTGAGCTACCCAACAGTAGATGTTAAACCTGACTCTTCAAATGAACTTTGTGCAAGGCTGATTAACTGGTTAGAACTTCAATGACTATGGACAGTTTGGAATGCTGCAGGTTCAGAGCCTAATTGCAATTTATCTCAGACAATCTTTAGCTCCTGAAATAACCATTCTTTGTCCAGTTCTGAGTTGGACCTAACATCCTGTGACTACAGCTAACATCTTTGGGAACTATTATCTTAAAACCCCTGGTTTCCACCAATTAAAAAGCTGAGTGTCTTCAAATAATATCTGAGGCCTATAGCTGAGATTTCTTTTTTGCTGTAACCACCTACTTAATGTTTCCACCAATGAATTTGAAAAGAACCTCAATTTATGACTTATTCTGTTCTGTTACTATAACTTCATAAAACTATTACCACATTGGACCATGGAATCTGGGGTGACTTTAATCATCTGTGTTCTTAGACCACAGTTACTCATGTTTGGCTCCGGAATAAACTATATCATCTCCTATCACGTTTGAGGTGAGAGCTTTATTTTTGTGATAACATGGGAACTGATATCAGGTCCTTTAGAAGAGTAGTGCCCACTCTTACATGTTAAGTGACATCCCTAAGCCCTGTTGCTCTTTTCTCTAATTTACATTTTTTGAAAATTTCTTTTCTTTTTTTCTAATTAATAACCACATGGTTAGAAGAAGCATTTCATTACAGCTTTGATATATTCAGTAACATATTCCAGAGCAAGGATACATTTCTTTTAAAAGTGGTTGTAAATTTTTAGGTTCAAAGTTGAATTAATACAGTTATACAATATTGAACTCAGTATAAACCCTGTAAGATATAAATTGAATGAGTTTTTACCCTTTAAAGAATATCTCCATTTCATTTTTAAATATGCTGTTTCCTACATTTTTAATGCTACTAACACTTAGATATTTACACATGTGTCTTTAATCTCTATGTATCTGATTTTTACTAGTCACATTCAGTTACACTCAGATCCTTAGTACCTGAGTATGGTGGGGTCTCCATCGACTCCTTGATCAAGAGGACAGGTGACTCACCACAGTTATAGGATATTTTCAGAGGTGCTCATAGTCCCCTGGAACTAAGTTGACCTAGGAAGGAAAGGAGCAAAAACTATCCTTTATGTCCCTCTGTCCAAATTACTATAGGCCTCATACTATGGCTGATAAACATCCACGAAGGTTAGTTCCACCAGTCTTGTTCTTTTAATTACCATATGCCACGTAGACAGAGCTTGGACAAAGACCAAACGCTCTCAGATAAACCTTGCCTAGACATATATTACATTCTTTGATCTGGTTGTATGTAAAATTTGTCAGTGGGTTGTGGGCCTAATATGGTTCCCTCTGGTTTTCTAAAACTAGCTAGGCATTATTTATCTCTCACATTGTCTCATACAGGAGTACTGACTGAAGTGAAGTGATAACATCTTTGCTCTCCCCATTCCAACACCTCCCATGTCTCTCCTCTTTCAAGTTCATGACCTCTTCTTTACTTCTTTAATTATTATCTCTCTATCCATATATATATATATAAAACATACTGAGTCCATTTAGTTTTCCTTACACATATATGCATTTAGGACTGACCACTTGGGATTGGATAACTCTTATCAAAGAGCTCGTTCCTAGAGAAAAGCAATTCTCTTCTGTCAGTATATACTGATTTTCTGTAGTTCCCCATCCATACTGGCATGATCACTGGTATTGTCATTATGCAGGTCTTGTTAGGCAACCATACTGTTGAGATTTATTTGGTGCGGCTTCCCTTGTCATGCTGGGAAGACACTAACTAGCAGTAGGTGTCCTGGTCCTCTGGCTCTTAAATACTTTCTGCCCCCACATTCCCTGAGTCTTAGGTGTGGAGGCTGCATTGTAGATGTATGAATTTCAGATGGGCATCTCAAGGTTTGTTATTCTCTGCATTTTGACCAGTTGTGGATCTCCATCTGTTGCAAAAGATGTTCTTTGACGAACTACATTTGCCTGTGGATATAAGTATTTAGATTACAGTTAGAAGTTATATTGCTTTGGGAAAGTGGCAGTCGTAGGTTCTCCCCTAGGGTCTATGCCCTCTGGTTCTGTGTGGTGATGGCGGTTACTGCAAACTCCTGTTCTTCCTCTTAAGTATACCCTAAAATAGATTACCTGAATAACAAATTTCAGAGAAGTCTTTCTGATCCATTAATAGTAAATTTGTTCAAAGAAGAAATTATTGGGGATGAGATGTTCTTCAAAGCTGACTGACTCAAGAAAACTAGAGCAATTAAGGCAAGAGAAATGTGTGTGTTGCCCAGTTAAGCCAAGGGAAGTATGGGTTTGACCCTGAAGCTTGAATTTTCAGCTATTTACCCCCCTCCTCCTAAGAACAGCTTTTCGATGGGTAGAAGCTGGTAAACAGTACACTTCCAAAGAGTGAAAACTCTCAACTAAAAGACAGTTCACAAAACTCAGGATCATCAGGAACTAGTGCCAAAGCATTTAAGGAAAACTGAAAATAGAATAGATGATGGTTACAAAGAGGGTTTAGCATGCAAACAGTGTGTATTTAAAAGGAGTGATGCCATCTATAATGCCCAAACTCGGGAATCTAAGACAGGTTAATGGTCAAGGACAGTCTGAGCTATTTGTGGATCCTGTTCCTCACCCCACCCCCCAAATAGAGCTGAAAACAACAAAACAGCTACGTCTTAAACAGTAAATGTAGCCCATTACAATTGAAAGAAAAAGGGAGAAGAAAGTAGCTGTGGGTGGTATAGAGAGACCCTGAAGTATTCTGGAGCATAAAAATAAATGACAGGCTTGTAGAACTCCGCTGGAACCTGGAACCAAAAGCAAAGGCTGAGCCTCCATCAGGCCCTGAAGTGCCTGAAGCTTGCTTTGCAATGACTAAGGAAGGGTGAGACACATCTGATTCTGCGCGCTGGGAAGCGTCCAGCTGTTGGCCAGCGTGCTAGGTGATGGATGTGGATGAGCAATTCCCTTCAACAACTCACTTACTGCCAACGACAAAAACACTGGAAGCACATCCAAAACCTCCTTGGCAATAAAAACTACAAGGAAACGGTCCCTCTGTCCACCTCCCTCACCAGAGAGGTGACCCTGTTCCTGGCAACTCCCTCCACAGAAGGACCACAGAGGACCTCCTCTTTCCTCCAGCATCCTTTTCTTGGCCTCCAAGGTTTGGGGATGGGGCTCTTTTTTCCTCCTTTAGTCCTTCCTTCGTTCTTCTTTCCTTTAATAATAACAATAATTATAATAATGATGATGATGACATTAATTATAATAAAGCAAGAAGGAAAAACCTCACAGATCCCCTTTGGCTCCTGATACTCCACTGGAAAGCCTTCCCAGGCGAGCTGCAGTGGGGCTAAGGCAGCCGCCACCTGGCACCTGGGATTCATTGCTACTTTACATCCGCCCAGAGGTGAGAGGGGCCGCAGAGAAAGACACGCACAAAAGCTGGTGTGACAGGTTCTCGGTTTGAGCCTTTCTTCACAAAATACTCATCACTTCAGTAGTGCGCAGTGACTTCCGCCGGGCCCTTGGAGTTGGAGAAGCGGCAAAGCAGGCTGGCTTGCTCCTAGCCTCCCCCACCTCCCTATCCGAGCGGGCGCACCGCTGTTCGGTGGCCAGCAGGGGCCGCTGTTCGCTCGGAGCAACCTCCGGCCGCCGCCGCCGCGGCCCGCGCCTCCCACTGCCCTGCTGGCCCAACCCGCCAAGTTCCAACAGCCCCCAGTCGAGCGAGCGCCGGGAACGAGCACCACCCGGGCAGCGCACGCCGCACAAAGCCAGCTGGCGGCACATTGGAGCGGCTCCGGAGAAACTCACGGCCCGGGCACTTTGGAAAGGAGACCGCGAGGAGCCGCGCACCAGAGGAACGCTGAGCCCGGCACCTGTTCCTCAGCGCCACCGCCGTCCCCACCCCTCGGATCCTCACCTTCCAGGCGCCCGCGGACTCCCGGGATGAATTCGGTGCTGGGCAACCAGACCGACGTGGCGGGCCTGTTTCTGGCCAACAGCAGCGAGGCGCTGGAGCGCGTGGTGCGCTGCTGCACCCAGGCGTCGGTGGTGACAGACGACGGCTTCGCCGAGGGCGGCCCGGACGAGCGCAGCCTGTACATCATGCGCGTGGTGCAGATCGCCGTCATGTGCGTGCTCTCGCTCACCGTGGTCTTTGGCATCTTCTTCCTCGGCTGCAACCTGCTCATCAAGTCCGAGGGCATGATCAACTTCCTGGTGAAGGACCGGAGGCCGTCGAAAGAGGTCGAGTCAGTGGTCGTGGGGCCCTACTAAGTGACCCTCGGATCCCCGCGGCGGGCGCCCGGGAGTCTACACTACTTCGCCAGCCCCTGTGCGCCCCTCACCATCACCAACCGGGCGAAACAGACCTGTTGGAGTCAGTTCTTTCTCTCGACTTCTGCCTTTCGGGAATAAACGACCCATTTCTGCCCGCCAGTGAAGGTCCTGAGCTAGACTGCAGAGGAGCGCCCAGACTGTGGGACTCAGCAGCAGGTGGTAAAAGAGGGCAATTAGGGCGCACAACTTGTGGAGCTGCTGCGTACATGGGATGCGGGGAGACGGACCCGGCCAGGGCCTTTTCCACCTGCAGGTGGGCCGAGCAATGGGGGACAACTGGCGAGGGCGGGCAGGGGGGAGATCCAGCGGCCACCGGTAGCCGGGTGACCGGAAAAGTGACCTGTTTATACACCATGCTGCAGACCTAATGAGGACACAGATGCATGTGCAGATTCGCGCCCTGGTGGGGAGAGTGGATACCTTTAATAGATTGTAACGCGTCTTTTTAAGGGATTTTGTGTTAATTTGCTTGAATACAGATATTTGTTAAGTCTTTTCAGCCCTAAGTGGTCTGTTTGCCTGCCTGCCGGTTAGAGATTTTGTCATCCTGGGAGAAGGGGTGGGGGGAGGGAGAGCCTGAGAATGTGAATGGGGTAAGTTCTTTATTTTAGTGCATTTCTAACTGGCTCTTTTTTGGCGGGGGGGGCGGGGGGGGGAGTCTAGAGCTCCAGCTAAGCTGGGACAAAGACCCATAGTAGAATTCCTAGCTCGTGTCTGCTCGGTTTACGCCACGAAAGTGCTCTTGATATCAGTGACACCGTTTTGACTTTTTCCCCCTTATTTAACATTTCCTGAATAAATGCAATATTTAAGTGATTTGTTTCTGGCCTCCTGGTGGTCATTCTGCGTTCCTGGCCAAGGGAGAGAATGGCAGTGCTGAGTCTGGGTCCCAGCCTGGGTATTTCACTTTGTGGAGCAGAACAGTGATTCCACTCAGATCAGAGGCTGGGAGGAAGGGTGGGGCAGAGAGGACAGGGACCAGTGAGACAGCCAAGCCCCAGGCAGAGAAACCTTCTGAAGCAGCAGCCTTTGTTTTCTGGCATATTTACTACTTTAAATTTCATTTAGTCTCCTCTGTCAGGTAAGTGGCTACAAGGACAGGAGGGCCCCGAGGGAAGATTACACTTACAGGCCCAGCTCCTCCAGGAACTCTAGGTTACCTCACTAATGAAAGGAGCAGAAGGCCATGCCAAGCCTTCAGGGAGGGCTTTTCTCCCCCACCAACGTCAGCAGACAGTGCAGGGATGCTGCCCAGAAAAAGAAAATTACAGATTACGAGGAAAAGTAACTACCAAAGTCGATAATACTCCCTGGAGTAAACCATTGTCATTAAATCATGAGGTATATTGTTGTCTTTGTCAGAGAAAGGAGATTAAAATCTAAGGAAATGATGCATGATTGAGATGATAGATTAATTCCACCATGGATACATATGGATACATGTACTGAAATATCACATTACAACCTCTAAATATATACAATCCGCCAATTAATTAAAACACACATACAGAGGGAGAGAGAGAGAGAGAGAGAGAGAGAGAATGAATATGCATCTGCTGCTTCTTTAGAGTAGTCAGCTATTAGCTCCTGGCCAGTCAAAAGGCTCAAAGGAGCTAGCCCAAGACCAGATAGATGTGGGAGATGAGTGTTATGTCCAAAACAAGGCAGGGCTAGAATAGAGGTACAGGTGATTACACTGCACATTTAGGGTCCAGAAGTTAGAAAGAAGAGCCTAGAAAATAGTGCCTGTGAAAATAACCCAAGGGATTCAATAGTTTGAGGCTTAAACTTGGCAAAAGGCTTTGTGTCTTAGGCCAGATCCTTTATTTTCTACCAGGATGCTTTCACAATGATAAAATTTAAAGACTTCACAATAGCAGCTGCAAAAGTAACATAAACTAACAATGAAATGTCTCATCTTTAAAGAAAGAGGTGCAAAACTGGCACAAACATTGCCTGTGCCTCAAGGACTAGGGTCTAAAGGTTAGCATGTCCTTTAACATGCTGTGGACCATTAAGCACCCATTCCACTCAAACTGAATGTTGTGAGGAATTACAGGCTGGAGTGTTTTGTGAAATATTTTTATTCATTTAATAATTTTATACATTATATTTTGATCATATTCAGATTTAATATTAACAGTGTCCGACTTGGGTTTGAAAAAGCCCTAAGGATTGGAAGTTTTGTCTGTTGTTCTTTTTTATAAAGAAGAGTTGCCCACTTTTTTCCTATGTAGGGAGGAGGTAGGGTCAACAATCAGCAGGTAGTTAAGCTGAGTCACAGAAGGTGGTTTATTTTGCTAATATATAGAAGAGGAAATGAGACATCCTATTTTGTAGACAGTGTCTGTGGGACCAAATTCACCTGCTGCCTCCATGTTTCCGAGAGGAACAAAGCATGACAATGAATTCATCCTGCAACAAGCCAGGCATTTAACATTTAACTTGTGTTTTCCTGCTGCAGCTCCCCTGGAGGGTCTTTCTGTTCTGTGGATTCATCAGCCACCACCCCCCCAGTGGATTCAGTGCTTGGGTAGAAACTGGTTAGGGTTAAAAGTACATCAGATAGAGTTAATAGGAATCTTACTTTGCACCCTGTTGTATACAAATGCATGCTTATAGTTTCAGACATTGGTAGGCAATAAACCCACAGGCCAATATGAAATGGTTTGCATAAAACAGATTTTAATTTACAGCAAAAGTCCAAAGTGTTGAGGAAGGCCCCTCCCGGGATTAAAAACATCCACTTTTTCTTCTGTCTCAGTCTTCTTAATATTTCTTTGCTCCTCTTACCTCAAAAGCAAAATGTACACTTTCTTCTCAACTATTCATATTTATTCTCTCATCTCCAGAAATTATGATTCTAAGACAAAACAGAACGTGCAAAATTTACTCCTTAGGTAGAAAAGTTCCAGGAACACAGCACTGTGATCTATGATCTATGCATTAGAGGGAAATGCACAGAGCCCTGGGGACCGCTTCCTGCCAACAAGCCTTCTCTGTAGCCTTACATCCATTTGTTACTTAGGGAGATGACAAGTGGTTCTGGTTTTTATAGATGAGTCAAGAAGCTTTTTACACTCTGTGTTCCCTGATGGCCACACAGCGACCACTTTCCCAGGCGTGCACTACTCATTCTACTCTGCCTTTGAATCTCTTTGTCTTTCAATCTAACGAATACATTAAATGAAACTTTTTAAAAACCTGCCCAGAGTTTATGGACTGTCAGTCTTTTCCCACAGACATGCAATCAGGAAAGTCGCTTCTGAAACTCCATTTCACCTAAGAAATCAGTGTCAGCCTAAAGAGACCAGGAGTGGAGATGGTAAATATAGACAGACAGGTCTGCTGTCCCACACTTACATTTGCCAGTCTACCATGCGAGATCAGTAATTAGCCAGAGGTGGGGGGGGGGCTGGTTAGGGGGAAGAGAGAGAGAGGAACAGAAAGAAAAAACTATAAAAAAGGTTGATCTGGGGGACTTGCCTAATACTGATATATCCTGAAGCAGTTCTAGAACTTCAGAAGATGCTGGAAGAGAGGTTTTCATGAGACACTGCTGACAGATTAATAGAATCTCAGGGTAGGGAGATAGTCACTGATGCCTCTTAGTTCAGTGGCATCTATACAAATAGCCTGACTTAACTGATAATATTATTTATTCTAAGATTGTTGATTCGAAGTTGGAATAAGAACTTAAGTGCTATTTGCCTTGAGGGAATTCACAGCAGAGGTGACAGAATTCTAAGTCTGAAATCACAGTTATCCCTAGTAAATGGACTGTGATCTCTGATTCCCAAGCTACTGGGCTTCTCTGTGATCCTGAATCAATCTGTATCTTCCTATGAAGCTCAGGGAACAGCTGGTATAGACAGTAGAACTTAATGCTTCAAATTGGCCTTTAAGTAGCTGGGTGGCCTCATCCTTAAATAAGGAAGATTGATTCTAAAAGGGCTATTCAAATTCTATAGTTGTTAATTAATTTGCTTAACATTTTATTGAAGTTGTTTCATAGATCTCTGTAATATGTCTGTAAACGCATTTTATTTTTCTAGTCTTGGTCTTTGAAAAATTTTTCCTCACAAAAGTCTAGTACTCCTCTTCATGGGATATGCTATTTTAAATAATCAAGGAAAAATATCAAACACTTCTCCAGACCTAGCTAGACAGTAGCCCATAGGCCATCTAACTAGTGTGGATGATGCCACAGACCAAAGTCCAGTGAGCTGAGGAGCAGGAGATCGTTCTAGGTACCCATTCAGATGAGTATGCAGTGCTGTTGGTAGAAATTTCTTGGTTATTAAAAATAAATTAATGCCCCCCCTGGAGTATTTTCCTTTTGAGCTTCAGCAAACAGCGCATAACAGGTCTTCCAAATGTCATTTTGGGGGTTACCATGCCAGAAAAGAATTCCAGGGTTCAGTTTGTTCTGTAAGATTAAAACCTAGTTTGAAAGCCTGTTGAAGCAGCAAGTCGGCAGCAATCCCTTAAACAGGAATCAATAAATCTTTTATCCACCTGCCAAATCCCATTTAGACATGTGCACAAAAGCTCAAATGGGATACATTTTAAAGTCAGCTCCGGTAGTAGTAATTGATTCCTAACATCTGCATTTAAACCCTCAGTAGTTACTTGGTTTCATGGCCCATTTCACATCCCAGGTATTTCTTGTGTCGTTATAAATGCTTAAAATGTTGAAAGTACAGAATGAATTTTATAGCATGAGCTATGATTTAAAAATTCTTGGAAAGCCAGGTAGTTCAAAGAAAATGAAGTACACGGTGTTTTAAATCATAAATCATTTACAGTGATCATGATTTAAAAAAACTGAGTATTCATGTTTTATTATTTTTAGTGTGTTTGAGGTATTCAAAACAATTCAGAGGAAACTACTAGGGTGCTAGGACTGTTGTAAAGAAAATACAAAAATTTCCTTAGTCACTTTGCAAATAGTGGCTCTCTTCATAACCCAAAATAACAATATTTCCAATGAAAATAAACAAGGTTTATTTATATTTATTTAACTACAAGTGTTTGAAAGAATAATGAGTAGTTTTCTCTCTGAAATACATGTAAGGGCTTGCTTGCTTGCAGTATTTCTGAGTGTGTGAACCCAAGAATAGAGTGATCAATACAGAAAAGGTCAAGGCATCTATGATGACGCTGAATCAGTGCTCTTCTCTGCCCCTCCCATTTAGATCCTGTTTCCATTAGTAGTAATATCTCAGGAACTCATAATTCAAGCAGCCATATAGTGTTTTAGGCAATTATGTACAGACTGCACACTATATTTACTACCAAAGTAGGTAAGTGGTTCCTCTACATTTGAAATATAAAATACAGGCATAGACAAATATACAAGAGAAAGCAAAGAATCTGCCCACAAGTCAGATAATAAAGAATTACTTTTAGTTACTATTTCTGAAATTGAAGGTTCTATAAATATATTTATCTAATTATACCAGAGCCTATGTGTCAGCACAGTCTATTACAGTAAGAAAAGGTTGCAGTTTTACACATCGTTTTTGTGTTTACCCTCCCACTCACCAGCTCTCCCTTCATTATACGCTTCTTCCCTCACTCACATCTAAAGATATACTGCCCAAAAGAGTCACTGACTTTTTTTTTTTTTATTAGACCAAGACCAAGACTCCAGATGTCTGATTGCTTTGGGAAAAGAATCCCCGTGGGATCCGGAGTGTCTTCTTTGCTTTATTTATTTTCCCGTAAATTGAGCAGGATCCTGCAGTTCATATTCTAAACAGTATTGATTAAGGCAGAAGTGCATGTGAGAGGGAACATATTCACATACTCAG